TATATTATAAACTATATACTATATGTAATATACTATATGTAATATACTATATATTATATATCCATGCTTTAAATACCGTACCGTACTGGCCGGTATTACCTGTAATACCGGATACCGGTGGTCCGACCGGTACGGTTACACTTAAAAATACTGTTTTGGCCAAAATACTGGGTTATACCGGTTTCATACTAGAAAATACCGGTTTTACCGGACAAAATACCGGTTTATGCCATTTTTTTAAAAAAAAAAATATTTTTTAATATATTTTCATTAATTTATTTATATAAATTGAAGGTTCTACACTTAATTTTAATACTTTTACATTGTTATTAGATGTTAATTAATTTTACTATTAGTTAAAGTTAGTTTTGTACATCATTTATATTATAATAATAAATTAATTTAATATTTATTGAAACCGGTAAAATAGACGATAATACCGATTGAACCGCGTACCGTTGGCTCGTCCGGTATGATAACTGGTACGGTATTTAAAACACTGCTATATATTATATAATATATACTATATACTATATATTATATATTATAAACTATATACTATAAATATCGATATTCAAGGATAAGAATATAATTTGCGCAAAAATAAATGTTATTGCTTAGCGGTAGGATGGTATTGAAGTCGCCTTGAGGGTTTGAAACGCCCACACCCGGGTTCGATTCCCCTCAAGCGTGAACCTTCAACCATTTTTTTTATATGTAAAACGTATTATGAGAATACGTTTTTTTTTTTTTTTTGNTTTTAATAACTCAAAAAAACTAACTCATTCAGATACAACATCTAACTAATACAAATAAACCATCCAAACAAATCGAAATAAACAATCAAACAATTTCCAATATACTATCCAAATAAATCCAAATACACTATCCAAATAAATTCCAATAAATCATCCAAATAATTCCAAATACACAATCTGAATAAACACTAATAAATCTAGTTTTTTCACTCATCACGAAGTCTAGACCTATCGGTGCGAGGATGTGAGGACGGACATTCATCCACAACATGATTTCGGTCACCGCATCTAGTGCACTGACTCCTATCACTTCTGCGGCGTGCCTGACGATCCATTTGGAAGCGATATCGTCTGGTTTGCACTCACCGGGTCCAGGCCTCAAGATGATCCTCTCCCAGTGTGGTATCAAATTCCATTCGACCGACGCCCATGTATCCGGAATACCAATTGGAGCAAAACTCCAATTACTAAATTGAGCTACCCAGGTCGCCGTCCAAAATTTTTCATGGTACAACAATTTTGCGTCATCAACGAAACGACAGACGGCTAATGCATGAGAGCATGGTTTCTTATACGTCTACCACTTCTGACAAGTACAACGTTTTAGGTTGTAATCAACCTTATACCTGTAATTCCCCAGTGATTTATATATATACAAAATCAAAAATTTGAATGGACAAAAAAAATAAAAATGAGACCATATACTTACGTGTTTGCTCCTCTTCCACTAGTCCGTAAACCGGTTTCCACCCCGTACATAGATCTGTCGGCGTCCCTAACTTCCACAATATGAGTTGCGGCTGTCTGCTCCAATTGCAAAAATGCGTTATAGTGCTCCGTAGCAATGAGACTCCTGCATCTCTTGGACTTGTTTTGTTCCTGTTGAAACAAATCCAGAGTTTTCTGAAATGTGCCATCTACCAAAGCTCTGCACGGCAGGAACCTAACCTCTTTCAGGACGTTGTTGTAACTCTCCGATATATTCGTTGTCAATGTGCCCCATCTACATCCTCCATCTTGAAACAGGGTCCACTTGGTCAAAGGAATTTGAAAAAGTTAATTGTGTGCTTCGGGATTAAATTCCAACAGTCGCTGTTGTGTCTCTCGAAACTTTTGCTCCAACAACTGCGAACCCAAATCCCAACACCAATTCCGGATTTTCTTACTCCTGAACCTAGTCACCATGTTGCTTCGAAGGTGTCGAAGGCAAATCCGATGATACGCAGCGGGTTCTTGCCAAGGGACCAACGATTCGATGGCACTGAGCATGCCCGCATCCCTGTCGGAAAGAACGCAGATCCGTCTATCGAAGACTACATATTGCCGCAGATTCATAAGGAAAAATGACCAGCTGTCCGAGCTTTCTTCATCAACAATCCCATACGCGATTGGCAATAACCGCTTATTCGCAGTCTGTGCTACGACCACAAACAATTTTCCCTTGTATGATCCACGCAAATGTGTGCCATCGACGCTAATAACCGGCGGGCACATTTGAAAAGTTTGAATGGCGGGACCAAATACCCAGAATACAAATTTGAATTGTCTGTATCGAAGGTGTCGTGCCATTCCCACTGTACAACTGTCAAGGGATTCGTTCTTTGAAGCGCGGCAAAATACCTGCACATTACAAAACGATTTCATAATAAATAGATAAACATAGTGACAGACAAAAAACACATATATTCGTAATTAATTTTTACTTACTGAGTGAGTTTTGCGATGTTCGATTCCCAACTGCCATACACACTTTCGATGGCTTTTTTCCTTCCGTGCCATGCCTTCTTGTAGCTGACATCGACTTTCCAACACTGTTTCACATCAGTCTGGATCATGCTAACACCGTACTCCACTCTCTTTTGAATCTTATTACAGATGAGATTTGAAATCATTTGGGCGGTTACATTTCTGTGGTCATTTCTCTCGATCCGTTGCATACAAGTGTGTCTATCAATCCATTTAGTTAATTCCCACAATTCATGAACCCGTCTGGACTTAGTCACCCGAGCCTTCCACACACAAGGCTCATCTTCATCAGATTTGTAGACCACTTTGTATGACTTTTGATTTGAATCATTTGTGCGAATCTCCCGCAACCTATCAACGTTCCAACCCATTATAGCCGTTTGGGCTTCTTGCTTGCTCCTAAAAACTGTACCCAAATGTATGGTCTCAATGTCGCCATTCCAGAGTGAAATAGCATACTTGTTCTCATCTATCCTGGACGGCTGCCATTCACCCATCTCGCGGTATACATGGCGACCACCACTAGAAAAGGGGTGTTCTTCTTCAATGAACTCGGCTTCACTCTCCTCGTTTACCGATCTATCTGATTCGGTTTCTGAGGTCTCGTCTGTGAAATCATCTTCACCGGGAGCGAAATCTTCGTCACTTTCTTCCCCGCCCTCATTTGCCCATTCTCTCATTGTTGAGCTTGTCTCTTCTCCAAGATTACGTAGATGAGAAGTCGGCGTGTCCTCAACATCAGCCACTCCTCCGTAATAAGGAGTAAAATCCTCGAACTGTGTAACCGGTGTAATTGCCTCCAACAATAAATGCAAATACACAATGGACATAGGAGGAAATGAATAAATCCATTGAAGAACACTATCGTTATTGAGTATTGCGGTATTCCACGAACCATCGGGTTGACGAATCATCAAAGTAATCTCCTCAACTGTCAAACCTTCTCCAAACCGACAATTTTCATTAATCATCTGTACCAATTGTTCATATGATATCCTGCCTGAGATAACAAATAAACCATTCGGACGATCCATAACTGTACCAAACTCGCGCAACTTTTCCTTCCCAAAACGTCATTACAAATTAACAAGGTATGGACCGTCACACGCCATTTATATCTGTTGCAAAAAAACACTTTCAATTATTCCCAATTACAGCAACACATAATGTCTAATCCAACACCAAAAAAATTCAATTATTTTTTTACCATTCTAAATTTAAAACCCATTTTTTTACTTCACCAAATGACCAAAATAAATATTCCCAATCAAATAATCCTCCAAAACCCTAATACCCATAATCCAACAATAACATACAATTCATCTATATTTCAGATAAATTGAAAGCCCTAATTCTAACCTTAATTTCGAAAAACCCTAAGCCCAACAACAACCAACCAATACACAATTGACAATTTACAACAAAATTTCATTCTCCAATTCAACATACACACATAATCGATAACCAATTAACAATTCTCAATCTTCAAACACCACCACATTCAAACATACTATAGCAATTTCCAATCTCTAAACAACTCCAACCGATGTCAAAAGTTGAGATAAGTCAATATACCTTGTGCGAATGAATTAACTGGAAATGAGGCTCGTGCCGTTGTTCTCGGTTTCATACCGGGGTGGAGATTGGATTGCGCTTTTTTTTTTCGAGCGTTTTTTTCTCCTTCTCTTCTTTCTCTGAATTCTTTCTGCTCTGTCTCGTGTAACAAATGGAGAAGAAGAGAGATATTTTTTTACATTTAATAGTAAAACGTATTCTCAGAATACGTTTTTAGAAAATTTATTTTTTATTAAAACGCACATGTTATAATGAAAACGCATTCTACAACAAAACGTTTTTTTATGAATTGTAAAACGTATTTTCATTATATGTTTTTTAAATTTATTTATTTTTATTAAAACTCATGATGCGTTTTATTAAAAACACATTCCTTAATGAACATTTTTTGTAAAGTAAAAAACGTATTCTTATTATACGTTTTAATAGATTTTTTTTAAGTTAAATTATTGAAATAAAAAAATAAATTTCGAAAATATGTTTTTCAAAACCCTAAAAACAATTTTAGGGTTATGGAAAACGTATTATCAAAATACGTTTTATAAACATTATTTTTTATTCAATTCGAATCTTTTAACGGAAATATTTTTTTTTTAAATTTTACAATAATAATTTTAACACCTATTATCGGAATAGTTTTTCTATTTTTTATTCAATTCGACTCTTTCAACGGAAATAATTTTTTTTTTAATTTTTTTAAAAATAATTTTAACACGTATTATTGGAATACGTTTTTCTAGCAAAATAATTTTATTAGAAAAACGTATTTCGAGAATACGTCATTTTTAATTTTTTCCACTTTTTTTTATTTTATTTTTATCCACTTGATTTTTGTTATTTTTAAATAAATAAACCACCCGAAATATGAATTCCCAAATTAATAGCAACTCCCCATGAAATTAGAGTCTCGCCACGCCTGAAATGGTAAATCGGTTCCAAACCCTAGTCCCCAAATCATCCTCCTCCATGGATCCTATGGCCGGCCTCGAGGACCCTCGCGCCACCACCAACGGCGACAACAACCACGTCTCCAAGAAGCTCAAACCCTCCTTCATAACCGATTCCGAAATTCGGGAGGAGTTCGCCCACCACCAGCCCGGCGTCGCCCGAATCAACAACGGCAGCTTCGGAAGCTGCCCTGCCTCCATCATCGCCGCCCAGAAGAGGTGGCAGCTCCGCTTCCTCCGCCAGCCCGACGATTTCTTCGTGAATCACCTCCAGCGCCAAATCCTCCATTCCCGCACCGTCATCAAGGATCTCATTAATGCCGACCACGTTGACGAGGTTTCCATAGTGGACAACGCCACCACAGCCGCCGCCATTGTTCTTCAGCATGTTGGTTGGGCCTTTGCCGAGGGCCGCTTCCAGAAGGGCGATGCTGTTGTCATGCTCCACTGCGCTTTCCAGGCCGTCAAGAAGTCCATCGAGGCTTATGTTACCCGTGCCGGGGGCTCTGTCATTGTTGTCCACTTGCCCTTCCCTGTCAATTCCAACCAAGAAATCATAGGTGAGTTTCGGAAAGGTTTGGCAAAAGGTCGGGCTAATGGTAAGAAGGTAAGGCTGGCCATAATTGATCATATAACATCAATGCCCTGCGTTGTCATTCCTGCCCGTGAGCTGGTTGAAATTTGTAGAGAGGAAGGCGTGGAGCGTGTGTTTGTAGATGCCGCTCATGCTATTGGTAATGTCCATGTTGATGTAAAGGATATCGGAGCTGATTTTTACGTTAGCAATTTGCACAAGTGGTTTTTCTGTCCTCCGTCTGTTGCATTTTTGTATTGCCGGAAGTCGCCTGTGTCCCCTGATTTGCACCACCCTGTTGTTTCCCATGAATATGGAAATGGGTTGGCCATAGAGAGCGCATGGATTGGAACTCGAGACTACAGTTCCCAACTGGTTATTCCTGAAGTTTTAGAATTTACTAATAGGTTTGAAGGAGGTGTTGAGGGAATCCGGAAGAGGAACCATGACAAAGTGGTGGAGATGGGCCGAATGCTGGCCAAGGCTTGGGGAACCATTCTTGGTTCGCCACCAGAGATGTGCCCGAGCATGGCTATGATTGGGTTGCCATCAAGATTAAGAGTTTTATCTGATGATGATGCTTTGAACTTGAGAACACACTTGAGAGACAATTTTGGTGTGGAAGTGCCCATACACTATCAGGTTCCAAGAGATGGTGAGATTGGCTTCTCGGATGGTGATGGATGTGTAACTGGGTATGTCAGGATTTCTCATCAAGTGTACAATACTCTTGATGATTATATCAAGTTGAGAGATGCCATTACTCAACTTCTTCATGATGGAGTGACTTGCGAGGTGATATCGGGAGTCTGATAAGGTTTGTATTTTGTTATCATATCGTGACAGATGTTTCATTTTAAATACTATGAGGAAGGCCAGTTGTTTCCTGCTTGAATTGTTAAGTAGCTCATGTGCATAATGTGCTACTTTTGATAATCAATTAGAATATGTGAGATGATTTCACATCAAATTTAAATTTCAAACAAGTTGGAGGATAATATAAAGACACTTATGAATGCTAAACCATTTGTTAGTTTACTAGTTTATGCATCTGCTTGGTGATTTGTCTATCCATCACTCCACAATGCTTACATTTGGATGGCCACTGGTGTTCGACTCTCGGTCAGCTGTTAGTTTATATCGTTTTCTGTAAGTTAATTTTCTCAAGGCCAATGTTATCAATGGCGGATGGCGGTCCATGGCGGAGAGCCAAAAAACCGAAGTTATGGCAGACCCAAAAATATATATTTTATATATATTTATACATATAAAATTTACACATGAACAAACACAAACACCTAAAAACATGTCAATTTTCACAAAAAAGAGGTATTAGTTTCACAACATAACAACATACCATGATACCAAGCATCATTCAAATTTCAACGTGTTCAAATTAACCACACACATTAACCAAGCATCATTCATATTTCCATCCGATGTCGTTTTTAGTGTTGGACCTGCTAGCCCGTGAAGGGACCCCGTCTGACATTTCTTGAAATTTATAAAATGAGTACTTTGTCAAATCTGATTCTCAAATAATAATAATAACAATAATAAGCTTATAAACTTCAACGCTAAGCCACCAATAATATAACTAATGTGAATATACACATTATAAAGCACAATGTAGCAATTAGTAAAATCTAAGTATAAATTTAAATACACATTAAAAATAGAAGGAAAATAAAAAAATATGAAACTGAAAAAAAAAATAAAGCTTTCTTTCTTTCACTTATTCACATAAAGCTTTCTTTCCATTCACTTATTCACATCATTAATCATCAATTATGAAATGAAGGAAAAAAAATGCCCTAAATCTGAAACTGAAAATAGAAGGAAGAAAAAAGAACTTACTAGTGATTGAGAGCCGCCTTGCTGGAGCTGGAGTCGCCGGTCGCTGGAGGGTTGGGTCAGTAGAGAGCGCACGGTAGCAACAGATAGGGAGAGTTTGAAGAGGGTAGGGTGTTTGTGTTTTAGGAAGAGAGAAGCCGATTCGCATGTATTATTTGTTATAAAGTTTAATTTTTGTTTTTTTTTAGTACTTGGGCCTGTAAAAAAGGCCCAATTTAGTTTTTTTTTTACTAAAATTGGCCCAGATTTCCGCCATTTCACGCCATAGGCGCCATACCGCCATGACCGCCATGTCCATGGCGGGCGCCATGGCGCCGCCATTGCAAATCCGCCTTATAACGGATAACGGATGGCGGAAAAGTCAAAAACCGCCACGCCATTAGGCGCCATGGCGTAATAACACTGTTCCAATTTACCTTTTGTTTAAAAATCTCTTGTGCTTATTTTCATTGTATCAGTAGATGACCATTATTTATGCATATTTGTGATTGATTTGAAATCTAAAAAAGATAGTCAATTGATATAATTGGGATATTTTTAAGGTAAGAGAATAAAATGACTGAGAGGGTGATAGAATCTTGTGATAGATATGAACTCTTAAGCGCAAAAGGGGTTAACAGTTTGTCTTGAGAATGAGAGGAGATGAATAGTAATTAATCTACAATTTAATCGAGAAAGAAGTTCAGCTAGTTTTAATGTTTAGATTAATTTAAATGTTTCATGTTTAATTTTCAGGAAAACATACTCTAGACTCTACTTTTTAAATCTTCTTTTATTCGTAGGTTATAACGAGCTTTAATTTATTAGTTAACTTAATTCATAGTTTATTTTGTTACTTCATAGTTAAATCACTCTCCGAATTTGCATTAGTTTAGATAATATTTAGTCATCATTATTTTTGTATATAATTAATAAAATCACAATGCATGTGGAATACGACCTTACTCGCCACTAGGTATAGCTATGTGGTGCACTTGATAGCAAAAATATTTAGCGAACAAATTTTTGGTTGGAGATTGTTGTTTAATTAATTTATATTATGCGAAAGCAAATAGATAACAATTTGGACTAGTTTAGTCTTCTTCCTTTCGTTGGTGTTTCTACCATTAGTGAATGATCACGAGATCATGTGGGAGCATACTTGCACCAATAGATCCTGCGATAGAAGCAACGTGCCGAAAATGCAAGTAGGAGACGAATGAGGACCAAGATGGCGGACCGAGATGATGACACAACTCAAATCGAGGATAAGAGTTGCAACGTCAAATGATGTAAAGACAAGTTGAGATGTAGAAACACCAGTTCAGAGCATCTTCCAACCGTGAGCGAACTAGGCGTATGGAGAAAGCCTTGGGCCAGGAATCTCGACAAACAAGTTCGTGCTACGCCTGACCTTAACTTGGTTCAACAATTATCAAAATCGCTCTTAATGAATTGAGCATTGAAGTCGAGATGTTTGTTTGATCCTACTCATCCTAACCAACTGAAGAACATAAATAATGTGCTATATGCTCTTCGATGGAATCACCATCTCCATCAAACAAAAGAAAAGGCAACATCCATTTCTAAATAAAAAATTAACGGTAGCTATTGTGTTATGCCGATCTAACCATTAGACCGACATACTCTTTTTGCAAATATGCATACTTTCATTAAAAAGTATCATATTTTAATAAAGATATTAAATAAAAATATAACAAAGTATGATATTTCATAGTATAAGTATTCATATTTGTTTTTGGAGTATGACGGGTCGACCGGCCTAGATGTTAGACTGTCTCACTTAGGAATTTTTGAATAAATAATTATCTTAATAAGAATATTGAATAAGAGTTAGAATTGTAAACTCAAGTTGCAAGCACTCCCGCAACAACTTATGCCAAAAGATTGGAAAAATTAAAGAAAGCTACAAATTGATTTCTGTTCATCTGCTAGAAACACATTTGAGCTGAGTCAAACAAGTATATTTGAAATGATTCAAACGACGGCTTAGTGCTCTAAAGCATAATTCATATGTAACTGCTATATTATATCACTCGTGATTTTGTTCTTGGCATAATTAATGTGTGACTGCTATAATCACTCATGATCAGTTAAAGCTCGTTTGAATGCAACTTAGAGTTAAGAATTCAACAAACTCAAACATAATTACTAAAACAAGATAAGTTTTGAAACAATAAAAAAAAAAACTCAATCTGTAACACTCCGCCTTNACTCAATCTGTAACACCCCGCCTTGACTAGCTTTGACTTTTAAAAAATTAGAGTTAATTTTTTGCTTTTATTTTCGAAATACCGTGCGAGCTTATTTTCGAAAATACTTTCTTACTTGTGGGATGCTGCGAAAACTTTCTTAACTTACTATCTCGGACATAATAAAATATACAACCAAAACGAGCCACTATGTCATACTGGAATTATACATGCAGTCCGTCTGTCTGGCACTAATATCTTAGCAGAAGCTGAAAGTATGAATACAATCATACAAACTTATACATAACATGGTTCATGAATGGTGGTACATAAAATGATGGTAAAAATGTCCATGGCTCATGACAACACTTGCCACACTAGCTCACCCGGCCAGCTCGACTCCGTCACCTGAAAAACACAATGGGGGCGTGAGCAAACCACTATGCTCCGCAAAGACCAGTACTGAATTAAATAGCATAAATAATAACATATCATGAGCATCAATATATAAGAGCTGAACTGTAAACTTTTCTTTTCTTTTCTTTTCTTTTCTTAAACTTTGGTCCGTCGACCCTCTACCCTCGGCCGCTCGTGTGCACACCATCCAGACACTGAGGCCGAAGCCCCAGCCTGATACCAGGTGGAGTAGGAAGGCCCTTAGGTCGGCCTCTCACTTGCGATAACTAACTGTCTCAAACATATCTCAGCCATGGAACAAATGTTATAAATGATGTAGAATCCAGTACCTGACTCCCACCTGGTATACTAAAATGATCTGGCAAGTGCTGAAACTGGGGTAGCTGTCGGAGGCTCGACTCTCCTTAAGCTACCAAAATATAAGCAAATATATCTAAGAAATTTGCTCGACTTATAAAAACTGATACTGAAACTTAGTCAGTTAAGCAGGCAAATCAGATATAGCATGAAAATCACGTAAGGCACACAGATGCAAATGAACACTGAAAACTGAAATGGATGTTTCTCGGCTCGACTGGACTGTCTTAGGGTTTCCCGGAGAAATTCTCAGTTCGGCTCCGAACCCCATTTTTTTCTAAATTTTCTAACTGTCTCTCACCGGCCATTCTCTCCGTACTTCGGAGACTATATCCGACCAGCTCACATGCTAAATGATGTTTATGAATGAATGGTCACTTAAGTCCATGCATTTTCATTTAAATTATTTACTAGAATTAAATGATCGACTAAATTCTCTCGATTTTTATAAAATCGAATATAACTCTGAAAATTTTCAAATTTCACAGTAAAATAGTGCACTTAACCATGTACATGCTGTACAAATTTCAACTCATTTGAACATTAATAGCTTATCCAATTAGCATCTCAAACTTAACATATGAAATGCACATTACACGCATGCATTCAGATAATTTTATAAATTCGTAATATTGTCTTCTGAAGCTCAAATTTGGTGACATTACTCACAACTCATACAAGAAATTCCCCTTAAAATTTCACATTAATCCCGCAAGTATTGTGGGAGTTCTAAAGCATCAAAATTCAACTCGACATGCATTCGATCTAATACATATAACTCACTCATTTCTTACGATAAAATCATGAAATTTGGTGTGCATGCTCTTAACTCATATATAAACATGTCCAAAAAAGTTCATAATTTTATCCTAAGTATAACTCTAGTTATTCCGGTTTGAAGTCGCAACTGAATTTGCGCATAGAAAGTTCAATTTGCACATCTAACTTTGAAAATCAATATCTAGAGTTATACTAGGCCAGTTGACTTCATTC